ACCTTGTAGTTCAAACAGCTTTGCAGTCTGGCGCTTTAACCTGCAGCACCACACTGTATTCCTAACTCCCGTAATGAATAGGTAGAGCAGGATCGATACTCTTAGCTATGGAAATGCCCCCTTACATGCTTTTAACTGGTCATGCTATAGGATAAGCACTGGGTTGCTAACTACAAAGTTGGTTGTTCAAACCCACCAGTGGCTCCGTGGGAGGAAGATACGACTGCTCCTGTAAAGATTTACAGTGCCAGAAACCCAGTATAAGGTGGCTGTTGGAACTGACACGATAGCAGTTGGTTTTGGATATATAAACATTAAGGAGCTAGGGTGGCACGTGATTAAGAGCTTGGCTTCTAGCCAAAGGATGGTGGTTTGAACCCACCTCATGCCTCCTTAAGAGAAAGACCTTGCCATCTGCTCTGGTGTTGTTGTAGAATGCCATCTAGTAAAGACTAAACCCTAGAAACCTTATTGGGCAATTCTACTCTGTCGGTCAAAAGGGGTCACTATGAATAAAAAGACTTGGTAACACCTAATAATAAAAGTTGTTATTATTGTTAAAGTTTCGACTGTGACCCTGTATAAGGTTTCCAAGGCACAGCTAGTGAGTTTCACCCATCAACCTTGTGGCCAAATGCGTATCCTACAGCACCACACCAGAACTATTGTTGTTAAGTGCCATCGAGTGGGTTCCGACCCATAGCGACCCTGAACAGGGTTTCCAAGGCTGTAAATCTTTACGGGAGCAGATCGCCTCATCTTTCTCCCGCGGAGCAGCTGGTAGTTTCGAACTGCTAACCTTGCAGTTCGCAGCCCAATTCGTAACCACTACGCTAAGGGTTTGAAATCCTGGGTAACACAAGTAGCTTTTTGTTTGTTTGTTTTTTTAACATTTTTATTGTGAATTGAAAGAAAGTTTAGAGGGCAGATTATCAGATCTATATTCAACAAATCATATACTTTTTTATTACAATGGTTATAATTCCCTCTATGTACCATCAGTTAACATTATTTCTCCTCTATTTATTTGAGCTCTTTTTCTTTAAAAAAAAAAAAAAAAAAAAAAACCAATACTCAGAAATATGTAATAATTTACAGCATCAAAGGGCATATTCTGCAAGTCTGCCTCTGGGCCACCAGCACTCAGCCCCGCTCTTTCCATGAATCTGGAGTCTTCAGCTGCTCCCTCTCTCTATGTTTCCATCTCTGCCTCCATCTCTGGTGTTGCTGCTTCTCTGGATAAGGTCCTGCATTTTGCTTGTGCTCTTCTCCCTTGATGGTCCTAGGGTCCTGTTTCTGCACTGTAAGATTAACTACTCTCCCATTTTTGTTGCAAAACTTCTACCTTTACAATTGTGACAGTCACAATTAGTTATGATAACAATTACTTGCTACTGAATCATAAGAATCTTAACCCATGTCTTTTTACCAGATCCATCTAGACAAGATGAAGACTATTCAGTGGGGACTTTATCTTCCCCACATACTCTTAAACTAAACTCCCTCTTGAAACCCTGTAAGCCACTCACTTTGACCCTTTATCACTCCCTCATTTTAAGTAGTCAGTGTCTAAGTTGTCTAAGTTGCCCGTGTCTATCTACCCTGTATATAGAGGAGCTAGCACTGATCCTTGGTATGAAGACTTCTTCCCTCTCTGTTGGTATTTTGAGTATAGGTCAAGTTCATCAAATTGTAGCAATTTATACTTGTTTCCTTTATCAAAAAAAAAAAAATTTTTTTTTTTTAAATCTTCCTCTAGCGGAGGTCTGATTATCAAGCCATCGAGGCTAGGTCAAATGGGTACTATCTGCAAGTTTGGGTGTTCTTGTGCGTTTCTCCTCACTTCATATCAGATGGATGCTTCACTAGCTCAGCTCTAGCCCTCTGTGCCTATGTCCTTGTCCATGGGCTCAGGTGCCCCCAGGTCTTACCACATTTCAGACCAACCTGCCCTTTCTCTTCTCTCTCTCATCTTGAGGTCAATGGGATATGGGAGTCTATGGAACATGGCTGAACTCAGCCCATTTCTTCATTGCTGTCTTTCCCGCCTTCCACTCACCAGTAGACCACTGTGGTCGCCAGCAAGCTAATATGGCTGCTTATGTGTTCCCTTTGAGTTTCAGTCTTAGAGGGGGAGCACAAGTAGTTTCTAACTTAAAGGTTAGCAGTTCAATCCCACCTAGCATCTCCATGCTTGAAGAAAGGCCTGGTGATCTGCTTCTGTGAAAATTAACAGCCACGAAAGCCTTATATGGAGCAGTTGTACTCTGGGACACATGAGGTCACTGTGACCTGGAAATGATTCAATGACAATGGGTTGTACAAACATTTAAACACAAACACATCAGCTCCACTTCTATACACATTTCCACCTAGTTGTGAAGCTTCTAAGGCAAGTTATTTTGAACAATACTCAGTGTTTTTATACACCCAAAGATTTCAGAGCAGGAAAAATGAAGCAGCTGTGAAAAATGAGGACAATTTAGAACTGGTCATGACAGAGCCTCAAGCTACAAAACAATTTCTGGTATGTTTTTTGGACATTCAATCAAGCATTAATTTAAAAAACAAAAGAAAGCTGATACATTTAAAAAAAAATTTTTTTTTTTTTTTAATTAAGGGACTCACTAATCCCTTGGTATTAAATTAAGTTAAATCAGATGGCTTCCCATGTAGTAACTGATCAGCTTGGACAAGGTCTAGAGAACAAGTATTTTCTGGTGGTGCCAAGTCTAAAAGTCCTGCTGTAGCACTGTGAGTCTGAACCGCACTTAACAATTTAGCTAGAGAAAACTTGACCTCTCAGGTCAATTCCTCTGGTGCTCTTTTCAAGCATACTATCATTTGACTTTGGGTAGCCTCATCCCAGAATTTTAATCATTTTGGCTTCATTTCCATAAAACCTCTACACTCCTATAGCAACAACAAATCTCAATCTATAATATGAAAAAACTGAAACACATTATAATGAAGCAAACAAGTACTGCCTTAGGCATTTTCTATTTGTAAAGGTTTACATTACCTTACTTAAATCTTACAACTATCAATGATCCCAAGTTTAAAGATGAGGCTACTGAGGCTTGTTAAGTGCCACAATTCCTACTCTTATCAACCCAGTATAGTGTTTCCACGGAGCAGCTGGTGGATTTGAACTACCAGCCTTGTGGTTAGCAGTTCATTGCTTATCCTACAGCGCCACACCAGGACTCCAAGTGAAGTTTTGTTGTTGTTGTTACACACCGTCCAAGGCTGTAAATCTTTAAAGGAGCAGAAACCCTAGTCTTTCTCCCGCAGAACAGCTGGTAGTTTCGAACTGCTGACTGTGAGATTAGCAGCCCGATTCATAAGCACTACACTACCAGTGAAGCTTAAGAAGGTTAAATAACATGTCCAGGGTCACACAAGTAGTTTCAGAAGTAGCTGATACTACTTGTCACTGATACTGCCTCCATGTGGCAAATATTAAGATGTATGGAAAGAAACACATAAAGCTTTTATGGATTACATTTAGGTTGTATATAAATACCTAGGAAACACATGTCTTTAAACTTATATTATAAGAGGAATCTTCTTAAAACTACAATTTGCAAAAAACCTTGACATTCTCCCAACCTGCAACAAAACGTAGGAAGCCTTCCCCAAAATTTATTTATATGAAAAAATGTAATAGCATTTAATTCTTTAACAATTACAGAAAAAGAAACGGGAGTAAAAAATTCTGCCAAACATGATGGGCCAAGCCTACCTTACCAGGGCTAAGAAACAGAAAAAAGGTTCCTTCATTAGTCAAGGAGTCCTGTTTCCTCTTTTGTAAAACAAAGTGGCCTCCATGGTCTCTAGAGTGCATTCAAGTCTTAACATTCTATGACAAATTCTAGAAGACAAAGTTTAAATTGAATGAAGACCAAAAGTCAAACCCACTGCCATGGGGATCAATTCTGACTCACAGCAACCCAATTCTATAGTTGTGATTTAAGCTATAACACCAAAATATCAGGACAACAACATAAAAAAACTGTGTCTGAGTTTCTGAGATGTTTAAATATGCACGCTTTGGGGCTGAATTTCATAATGTAACATACTGGTTTCATGAACCAAGAGCAAAGTGCAATTACTAAACGCACAATCCTGGACACAAAAATCTCTCAGAACACATATTATTAAGGAAAGGTAAAAAAGGAAGACAAAAATTAGCACATGTCAGACCGCAGCAATCAGGCTTGTAACCCGGAGAGAAAAATAAAGCTTCTCCATGTTAGTAAAACCCAGGCTCCCTGATCTGTAATACTCATTTTCCCAACCGTAATATTCTTATCACAGAGCTATCAAGATTCAGGCTTTCTCCCGGCATTCAGGAAACTTGTAAATTAATTGTAAATGTGCTAGAATTAGAAGGTGGCAGAGCATCTAAAATTGTCAGAACGGGCTGTGAAGGTGACACACAAAACGCTATGCGAAAGAAAGGCCTGGTTAAAAAAAAAAAAAAAAAAAAAGTGTATGGTGGTTCACGTGGAAGCATATTGTATCCTAAGGAGAAAGCAGGGTGGGGTGACGGTGCCAGGCTCCAAGAGGGGCCACCCCCGCCGCACCCTGAACGACGCACCCGGCAGCTCAATGTCACCTTCGCCGAGGAGCTGCAGGCCGGCGACGGCCACTCCCGGCCAGGTGACCGCGGGGTCAGTGCTAGGACACGGTCGCGACTCGAAAACATAAGGGGCTAGGTGGGCGCGGAAGCAGTGGCAGTGCCCGGAAGCGCTGCGCCCGCTGCTCTATCCGCCAGAAGCGGATCCGTCCGTAGTGGCCGCGCCATGAAGTCGAGCTGCGGGAGGCAGTGAGAACCACCGAGGTGGCAGCGAGAGCGGCCCTACGGTCACAAGGTACTGCTGCCGACCCCGCGGGGTAGAGGTTAGGCCGCGGGGGCAGCCTGCCCTCGAGTGGCGGCGGAGACCAGGTCACCGCAAGGACACGCGGGAGCGGGCAGTGGCAGGCGGCGACCTTACCGGTGACGGGGCCGGGAGCCGGGGCGGAGTGCAGAAGGCCTCGAGGGCCGGCCCGGGCGGCTGCGGCTGTGGCTGCGGCTACAGCACAGCGTTGGAGAGCGGCGCCCAGCATGACGGCGATGGCGGCACACAGGATAAAGCTGAAGCGAAGCCGGGTGTGAGCGCGCGGGCCGCCCTGGAGCTCACGGGGGCCGGACTCACGCACCGACGTACGCCGGGCGGAGCGTGCAGGCCCGCCCACTGCAGCGCTCTCGCTTCTACGGGAGGGGGCACCACGCGGCCCCGAGCGGACTACGGCGACACGCTGAGGTCAAACCAAGTCGCCGCTTCTCTCTCTCCGCCACCCCCACCCCGCTCCTGGTCGCGTCATCTACAGCGGCCATTACTGAGTAAAATACAGGAAGGCGAGAGGCGAAAGAAGGACACTATGTATGGTTTTTGAGTCCAGTTCAGTACTCCTTAAAATGAAAACGATAACAATAATGACGACGACAAATGATAATAAGGATACTTCTTTGCCTACCAACTAAGGTTTGAATCTAAAATAAGAGAATGAATGGAAAAAGATTGCTTACATATCAGACCTTACAATAAGCTATTACAAATCGGTAAACTTGAAAAAATTAGTTCGAACATTTCACTTTACAGATAGACAAGCTCAGAAATGAGGTTGTTTGCTGGTAATCAACACTCTTTATTCCATATCCCCAGTTCCAAGCATTTTCATCTGAAGATTTCTGGCCAAACGTCCGCCCCCACTTCCTGCTGAAGAGCCCTGAATGTGCAGCCAGCCGCTCTGGAATGGGACTAAAAGTGCCTAGCCCCTTACATCTAATCTGCCTTCGCTAACAACAACATCCAGATTTTGAGACCCTGTGCAGGCTATCGGACCACCTTCCCAGGTCTGAATTAGCCCAGTGCCACCCAGAGTTGAAATGATCGTCTTGACACTCTTTCATTCTCAAACCCTGGGACCATTGAAGAAGCATGGATTGGACATCTAGGCCCCTCTCCTCACTCCTTGCCCTCTCCCTAGAGTGTCAGCAGCTGCCCCGTTTTTCATCTTCAGCAGTGTTCGGGGTATGAGCCTGGCTGGGAAAAGGATAGTTTTTCAAAGCAACTCCACCCCCCTCAACCTAACCAAATGATATTTGTGGAAGCTGTGACTTCTTTGCTGTTGAATTAATATTGCTCACATCTCCAAGACTGGAAGCTCAAAACCCATACCTGTTGTTGTCATTTCTGACTCATAGTGACAGTAAAACTGCCGCTTCCATCGGATTTCTGAGCTGTACTCTTTACAGGACTCTTGGTATGTATGGCGCTGCAGGTTAATGCTGTAGACTGCAAGGTCGGTTTGAACTGCAAAGTCAGCGGTTCAAGCTACCAGCCGCTTCTTGGAAACCCTATGAAGGGTCACTATGAGATGGAACCGACTCTATGGCATTTAATAACATCAACAAAATCTTTATGGAGAAATCCTGTGGTACTGTGGGATAAACACAGAGACTGCAAAGTCAGTTTGAACTGCGTGCATGGTCAGCAGTTGAAACTCACCAGCTGCTCCTCGGAAACCCTATACAGAGTCATCTTGAGTCCGAACCGACTCCAAAACACTTAACAACAACAGCAATCTTTATGGCAACAGATTGCCACGTCTTTCTCCTGCAGAGCACCTGGTGGCTTCAAACTGCAGACCTTTAGGTTAACAGCTGAACACTTAACCAGTGCGCTGCCAGGGTTCCTTAGAAAAAGGTCAGGGCTCCCATAATTGAGACAGCATTGGGTTCAATTGCAAGTGAGTTCCACCTGGTTTCCCTGCTTTCAGACTCTTGCCACTTTGCCTACAGTCCTTTAGATTGGCTACTGAAGTTTTAGTTTTTTCTCTTAATAGTACAATTATGACTGTCATTTATTATGTGGCCACTGTATGGCACCAACTATTGTCCCATATAAGCCTCTTAATGAAACTCAGTGGCTCTGTAGGATAAAAACTATCCTGGATTGTGAGCCATGAGATGGGTGGTTTGAGCCCACCAGTTGCTCTGCAGGGAATGGATGAAGCTTTCTGCTCCTGCAAAGATCTGTAGTCTCAGAAACACTATCCAGGATTGCTGTGAGTCAGAACTAACAGGAAGGCACTTAACAACAACAACAAAAAGCCTCTTTGATCAGAGTTTCTATTTTATGGATAAAGGAATAGACAGGATATGTGCCCAAGAATAATAATTTTTAAAAACCACACAAACCCATGGCTGTTGAATTAATTCCAATTCATAGCAATCCTATAGAGTCATGCAGCTAAAAACTGCTATTTAGAATTGAACTCATATTTGTCTGACTCCACAAACTGTTTTCTTTATCCTACTACCACTGAATTAGCCTTTGTTAGCCTCTTAATGAATGTGGAACCCTCTGCTACCTTGGGGGAAGTTTTTGGCCTTTGTTACCTGTATTAGTTTTCTATTACTACATAACAATTGACCACAAATTTAGCAGCTGAAACAATACCCATTTATTATTTCCCAATTTCCCCAGGTTACAAGTCTAGGCATAAGTGGATTCTCTTCTCAGTCTCAGAAGGCTGAAATCAAGACAGTTAGGTCTGGAAATTGGGGTTCTCTTTCAAGTTCCTTCAAGTTGTTGGCAATAACCAGCTTCTTGCAGTTTAGGACTAAATTTTCATTTTTTTCTTTCTAGCAGTCAGCTGAGAACCATTTATAGTTCTTTGTCATTGATTGAATTACATCCGCCCAAAATATGTGTCAGTTTGGCTGGGCCATGATTCTCAGTGGTTTGGCATTATGATGATCCCCTCTGATGTGATCTGATATCACAAACCATTAAGATTGTGGTGGTGGTGATGTGGCTGTGGAGTCGTCACATAGTGACCCTGTATAGGTTTCCGAGGCCATAAATCTTTGTTGTTCTTGTTAGGTGCCATCAAGTTAGTACCGACTCACAGCGACCCTATGCACAACAGAATGAAACACTGCCTAATCCTGGGCCAACCTCACAGTTGTTGTCACGCTTATCCCAATTGATGCTGCCAGTTGGCCAATCCATCTCACTGGGGGTCTTCCTCTTTTTCTCTGACCCTCCACCTTACAAAACATGATATCCTTCTAAAGCGACCGGTCCCTCCTGACAATATGTCTGAAGTATGAGAGACAAAGTTTGGCCATCTTGGCCTCCAAGGAGCACTCTGACTGCACTCCTTCCAAAACAGATCTGTTGGTTCTATGGGCAGCCCATGGCACCTTCAATATTCTCCTCCAACAACATAATTCAAAGCATCAATTCTTCTACAGTCTTCCTTATTCACTGTCCAGCTTTCGCATGCATATGAAGTTGTTGAAAATACCATGGCTTGGGTCAGGCACACCTTAGTCTTCAAGCTGACATCTTTGCTCTTCAATACTTTGAAAAGGTCTTGTGCAGCAGATTTGCCTAATGCAACACGTCGTTTGATTTCTTGATTGCTGCTTCCATGAGTGTTAGTAGTTGATCCAAGAAGAATGAAGTCCTTGACAACTTCAATCTTTTCTCCTTAAATCTTTAAGGGAGCAGAAAGCCTCATCTTTTTCTTGAGGAACCTCTGGTAGTTTTGAACTACTGACCATGAGATTAGCAGCCCAACTCATAACCACTACGCTACCTGAGCTCCTTAATAAGAAGATTAAGGTTGGGATAGATTCCATCAGTACCCTTAATAGGTGTAAGGGAGATTCCCAGGGGTGTGGCATGCAACACAGTTTATTTTACAAGTGATAAAAGCAGAGAGAAGTGAGCAGAGAAGGGGGCTATGCTATCACCAAGAAAGAAGAGCCAGGAGAGGAGTGTGTCCTTTGGACCTGGGGTCCCTGCGCTGGGAAGTTCAGGGAAAGATTGGTGCCAAAACATGGAGATCTCTGAAGAATGCTGGCCCTTCAACAAGTATCTTTCTTCAGACAAAACTGGTGCTCTGAATTTGGATTTATAGTGTCCTACTGTGGAGTCCCGGTGTGGCACTGTGGTTTAATGCACCACACTGCAAAGCCATTCAAACTGCAAGGTCAGTGGTTCAAGCTCACCAGCTGCTCCTCGGAAACCCTATATGGGGTCGCTATGGGTTGGAATCAACTCGAAGGTACTTAACAACAACAACAACAACAACAACAACTCTGGCACTGTGGGTTAATGTGCTGGACTGTAAGGTCAGTTTGAACTGCAAGGTCGGTGGTTCAAGCTCACTAGTCGCTCCTTAGAAACCCTATACAGGGTCGCTATGGGCCGGAACTGTCTCGAAGGCACTTCCAAACAACAACAACAATCCTGGTAAGGAGTCCTGGTGTGGTACTGAAGGATAAGCACAGGACTGCAAGGTCAGTTTGCCAGAAGGTCGGTGGTTGAAACTCACCAGCTGCTCCTCGGAAACCCTATACTGGGTCACAATGAGTCAGAACCGATTCAATGGCATTTAACAACAACAACAGTCCTGGTGTGGCACCGTGGGATCAGCACTGGACTGCTAAATGCAAGGTTGGAGGTTCAAACCTACCATTCACTCCTCAGAAAGCCTATACAGGGTTACTATGAGTGAGAACTTGCTCGGTGACACTAAACAGAAACAAATGTGGCAATGTAAAATAAGTACGTACTGGATGGTAACTGCAAGGTCGGTGGTTGAAAACCAATACAAGGTCGGAACTAACTCTGCGCCACCTAACAACAGTTTACCAGTCTCCTAAACTGTGAGAGAATAGATTTCCATTTGTTAAAGCCATCTGCTTGTATTTCTGTGATAGCAGCACTAGACCACTAAGACACTCTTAAAGGCCACTTTCAAGTCCTTGACATAGGGCCCTCTCCAGAGGTCCTCTCACAACACTGCAGCTAATTCTTTAAGGCAGCAGGAGAGTATTCCTCTGGCACTTCACCCTCTAGGAAAGACCTCTTCTAGAGGTCTGATTAGGTCAGGTCCTCCAAAATCAACTGATTAGTACCCTAATCCCAGGAATGATCTCCCATCATATTAATAGATTCTGCCTCCCTCTTAAGAGGAGAGATTATACAAGGCATGTATAATCATCAGGACAAGTGAATCTTGGGGTTGCCTCAGAATGAAACCTA